GGGGGGGGGGGGGGGGGGGGGGGGGGGGGGGGGGGGGGGGGGGCAGTCATCTGATGACCTACGCTGGCCTGATGTATACTCAGGAAGTGTGAATGTCCTGCAGAGTTGTTTACCACTCGACCCCCTCACCATGCAGCCCCTACATGCTGTACTCACATCCAACATGACAATGAACTGATGACCTAACTCACACTTGATCTACACTTCAGGCAAATCTGGTTGTGAATAGCTTTCAATAATCTTAAATATAATTATCCATCAAGAGGAGCTGTCTGACACTTTGGCAGGACTTGTAATGAGGTTACAGCGTGATTCAGAGTTGAAAGACTAAATCAGAGGGAAAGAAGAGGCTGAATAGAGTGATGGAAACAAGTTTACATTGTGTTTGGCACTTGTGTGCATAGTGAGATCCATCGCAGCGTTTTTTACCAGCTCTCATGGGCAACGGTCGGCTCATGGCCAAGTTTCCACTAAGGTACTGTGGACACCCGTCTCCCGCCATCATATACACAGACATGCACGTGCACACACTTCCTGACACAGTCATTTATCTGCCCGTGTGTGTACACACAGTTGTCCACAGAACAGGGGCCTTCTAGGCTGGACACCCGCAGGAATCACCAAGCTTCCTTTCTCTTTAGAGACATGGATCTGACCGTACGTTGTTACCCTAACTGTAATTAGTCCGTGCTTTCTTGTATTATACAATCACGGCAGTAACGGAGCATGAACCTACAGCAGAGCCAACTGCATAATGTGTGAGTCTGGGTCAATGATTTCAACATCCGCCAAAATCTTCCTATCAATATTCCAATTTAAATCATGTACAACCCAAGGATTCATTGGCACAAGACAGCTACAAGATTTAGATGTCTTGATACAATTTTATTAATCTTCTATCTACTGAAATAAAATGCTTGAGCCAAAGATGATGACACAAAGTCAATATAATGAATGCAAACTGTAATTCTCCTCTAGTTTTATGGCAAATACAAGAATATGTGATCTGGAGCTGCAACAATAACGCGATTAATCGATCAACAGAAGGTTAATCTGGAACAATTTGGATTACCCAAACATTTGATGGTCCCAGTTTATCAAATGTTTGGACATGCTTTTCTTTGTCTTACATTATAGTTCACTGAATATCTTTGTTTTTTTTAATTGTTAGTCATACAAAACAAGGTAATTGATGCATTAACTTGCACCATCAGCTTCGGGAAAATCCAATTAATCGAGAAAATGATCTGCAGATGAACCAATAACTAAAATAATCCACTGCTTACAGTCCAATATAGTCTACTGTTGAAGAGGAAATGCTCTGTCTCTGTCTCCTGTGTTTGTTGGTAAATACAACTGCTGACTCTCTAGACATGACGAACTGTAACATACTGTATCTAGAAGAAGGGTTATAAAATGTCACTCCAAAACAGGAGTCTATATACAGGCACATGCAAACTAATACACACACACACACACACACACACAAACGCGGACAGATGGATTTCTAAAAACTGATGCCAATAAAAATTCTGTACTACGCACAGAGACGGCGAATAGTTGTTTTGGTTTTGATTCAGTATCTTAAATGTTGCTCGTTTTCATGGCAGACAAAGTGTCTCCGCCTGAATATTTCCTCTGAAATTACATTCAACCGATGGGACACAAACTCTTAACCAAAGCCCAAGCTAATTTAATCATTTTGGCAGCTGAAGGTCTCATTAATAGAAAACAAATTGTAAGATCTTTGACAGACTTCAAATGAAAAATATATTTGTTAAAAACTTTATTGAACAACTCAACAAATCAAGAATCAACAAACCTGCTTCAGGAGAAACTTTTATAATTTTGATGGTTATTATTTAATAAAAGGTCAAATTATAAGAGTAATTACTATATACTATTTTCCACCTATAATATACAAATTAAGATTTTACCTAAAAAAAAAAAACACGATGAGCTCATATATATGATGCATTTTTATAGAATAAACTAACCTGCACTTTACAACATAGTTGAAGTTAGCTCCCGCTCTCCCAACTACAACAGTAAAATGCTGCTTACATGTTAATGCGTTGGTATTATAATCCAATATTATAATATATTACACTATAACACTCACAGGAGCAGCACCTATTCTTTTACAGTAGTACTTTTACAGCGTGGTATTGTTACTTACATATAACACAATTATACATTTTGTTATGGACAAACACATCATATACCAACGTGGCATGCTTAGGTAAAAAGGGTTCATACGTCCCCACCGTGCACACACAGACAGAACGTGTGCACACTAGTGGGGCTCAGTTTTTGGAGAATGACGGGGAAGAATATTGGGATTGAATTAGAAGACGAGTACTTAATTCACTGGTGTGGGTGGGAGCACTGCGGGCAGAGAAAGAGAGAAAGTTGAAACACTGCCTCAGATGAATAATGTAATTCCAAGGTTTGAGTGGAAAAGGAGCCACAAATTGTGTTGCATATATATGCAGGGGAGTTGCATGTATGAGTTTTGAATATTTTATGTCAAAGTTTTCAAAGCTGCTCTGCCACCACAGCTCGCTCAGACCATGTGGCAGCTAGCTGGCGTGGGACGTGCTGCTTGTCTTGGACACTAGATATCTGCTTGAGCCTGAGATTTATGCTAACACGGGGAAACTGCAGGAACTTGTATTATATATCTCTGTCTCTCTTGTTCTATGGAGTACAGATTTACTTCCTAAGCCTTCTCAAATAATGCAAAATAAAACTGTAGATCAGGACTCCACACACCAGGCAGCCCAGTGTAATTGGTCCATGTTTGTTCAAGACATGCCAGGAAAAACACCGGCCGTCCACCTTGTATGAGAGTTGTCCAGCACACAAAAGTCAGCTTTCATATGGGCATCTGGACCAGGCGAGAAAGGCCAAGGGAGCTGACTGCTCACTTCTATTTTTTCGACGTCAGTTTACATGTTTTCCTAAAC